TTCCTTTGCCTCTATAATATTACCTTCACACTGGGTGTTTCTTGTCTTTGTATTCATCATAAGGGATGTTATTTAAAGGTATGAGAGGTAGAGTTCACACTCTCCTCTTATTAAAGACATCTGAGACGTTTGTCGGCATGGACGGGTATGAGAAAACGTCTTGTACTGTCATCCATATAGACGTAATGTATTTGCATAATTAAATTACCAATTTATATCTGTCTGTTTGTCAAGATCTCTTTAGCTGTATTTTTTATGGCATAGGGGCCAAAAAAGTGCAGAAGAATCACCTGATAATAAGTGTCTACCGCTGCCTATTCACCCTTGAGTCCAACCATCCAGAATCAGAGGAGAGTCGATTTGGGTACTTGAGCTTTATATGTGAGGCCGTGGTATCACTCCGGTCGAGCCGGCCCACTTTATCTAAAGCGTGGCTCTCCCACAGCGGTACTGCTAATGGTATCAAATCGAACAAAACTAAAAATCTTTTAACTTAAACTAAGGTAAAAATGCAATTGGTAGATTTAATGATGAATAGAATGGCAAAGAAATTTATAATAAATCATTTGAATTGTCTTTTATATGCACATAACATCTAATATATTGTCATGTAATAAAAACTTAATATACTGCTACTATAGTGTCCTGAAATGCACGAAACTGCAGTTCATTCGTTCGAAGTTTCTTCATAAAACAACTAATATAACTGAGAGACGCTTGTCTTTGCTATCTTTGCCGATAAATATTGCCAAAACATTATATCACATATATAGACACAACAAGAGAAATAAAAGCAAATGGCGTCGTAAACTGTCAAACTTTTCGTCAAAGTTATTTTTCGACGTGTCGTCTATTCCATTTCACGTGTAGATAGGGAGGCAATTTGTCGATGTCGATATCGAGACACAGAAAACAAAATTAGCTTTAAATTTATAGTTAAGTAAAACCTCAAATCATAAAGGAAGTTCTAATGAATGTATAGCTCATGTGATAAGCAGTGATGTGTAACTTTCGGTTACTGCATTTCTAACCCTGATGTCAACTAAGTAGTGGCAATCATATTTATCTACAAGCAGAAAACTTCTAAATCATCTGCCTAACCTTTTTACAAATTTATTTAGGGACGGTGCAATGAGTTTTGTCCATTCTCCAAACATCTATATAGTATCTTCATCTTCAGGTTTTAGCCTACTATACCACGCTTTCTAGACGGGTTGGTATAGGGTTTGTTTCAAGTTTGCCTTCTCCTTGCAGTGCAGTTGTTCCATGTAGTTTGCTCCCTTAGTCGGCTGTTATGTGACACCTAGCGTATAAAGAGGGGTGGTGACATGTCGTATTCTTAACCCTTCACCAAAGAGAATGAAAACTTGACACAAACCCTATACCGACCCACATGGCCATGGCGTGGTATGGTAAGCCAAAACCTCCTTTTAGGGAGAGGCCTATGTCCAGCAGTGGCTAAAGGCTGGTAATGAACACTTAAATGTTTAAGATTCGTATTTAAGTGGTACAAATTCTAATACGAAGTGGAATGCATATACAATAATTTATCAACTTCTAAAATCTATCGACAAATTGCAACCTTAACCACACCGTGAGGGTAATCCGGCCTTTTGGAAATGTTCAATCGGTATTCTGTCCCTTCTAACTTCAGAAGATTGATTCAATGATTGATGCCTTCCACAAGCAAGTGAATTAAGAGTAATCCGATTGGGCATTTCTCCAATAAAACGAAAATCTTTGCATGAACTAATTTGTGTTGCTCAAGTAATTAAATATGGTAGTTCAATTTAAGTTTTTGAATTGTATAAAGTTCTCATTTTTGCGTCCTTATTTACGAGAACGTTTCGACTTGCTTTATATGTGTATTTATTTATTTATATAACTTAATGTACAAGTTGTACACAGGCGGACTTAATGCAAAAGGCATTCTCTGCCAGTCGGCCTTAGGGTGATGTAGAAAAACGATGCGGTAGGTGCAAGAGAAAACAGAGAATTTAACTTCATTTATATTCAATGTATTAATTTAAGATAAATCTAACTTACATGTATACACTATATACTATAAATAAAATACTATATTCACAACTACATTTATATATAGAGGTATATACGTATGTCGTTCTTTTAATCGTGTTTAATAATTTGATCAGATTTGTTTCAGACTACTGCTAGACTTATTTTCTATATCTTCCCTTATTCTTTACAAGTTTCATCATTTTATAAAGACTAAAAAGAGGCACTCAATGATTTTAAATTAAATATTAGCATATTAAAAAAAATATCCAACTCTGCATTATTTGTTTATTTGTTGCTTACAATATAAATATGTTTTTATTGTCGTTTATTGGATGCGGATTAACTTTATGTCATGAATAACTCACAGCCTGAAGCATTTATTTTCCAACAATTCAATGACTCCGTGATTGCAGTACCATTATAGCAGCGAGAATACCGAATAACAGCGCAATGCAATCACATTTATTTGCACAGTTAAGCACACCATTGCTTGTATTCACAGAATGCAAAATACATTTACATATTTAGACTCTTCAATGTACGCAAAACAAATTAAATCCTTAAAAGTTTAATGACTTATTTATTGTTTAGGATGGACATTATTAGTATTTCAAAATACTAATACAGTATATAATTATAGAATCACCAAAATTTGGCAAAAAGAAACGTCTTACAGCAAAAATAAAGGAATAATTCCAAAAAATGAAAAGAGTTGAAAATTAAGATAAATTTTGGTACTTACAAATTTTCGAGGTAATTCTATGTAAAATCTGGGTGGGTACGGAACCCTCGGCGCACGAGTTCGACTCGTACCTGACCTGTTTTTTTTATGAACCAATTATTTAACTAGAAATATTTTAATCTCAAGTTCTGAACAAATAGCTCATAATTTCGTAATTGTCGTTTGTCTGACAATTTCTATTCTATTTAGTACTAAATAAGACCGATAATATACGAGAGGCACTCCTCGCATTCACAATTCGAGTATTTCTGTTAATACTCATACCTTAAGTTTTAGTCCCTAGACCACTTTACTTAAACAAGTTAAAACGCAAAGTAGGTAGTGTTTTTTTCTGTATTTATAGCCTTCTTATTTTATAGCTTTAAGTCTTCACTCGTTTTAATTCAACCTTATTTATTTTTACCTTATTTCCATTTTATTTGTATCTAATTTTAATGTGTATTTTGTGTTAATTGTTATTTTTTTTTTGGATGTAATAGACTCTTAAAGAAAGTTGATTCCTTTTTATAACGAAGACACTGCACACATATATGTATGTAAATTGTTATAATGATCAGTTGAGTAGTTAAGGCGGCAAGCGTAACAAACGAAGAAATAGTTAAATAACAGTGGTTGAAGTCTACGAAGACACGACAGTACAATCATGAAATCTTTATAATTAAGTAAAAATACGTTTTTTAAATTTAATTCTGTACATTTGGTATTGATTGGTAACTTATAAGAACTATTGTGTATGCTATAATATATGTAAGTATCTAGGACGTGTACTATATTCACACTATAACCGAGGATCGAATACCTGATCACGTTATTGTAATCTTTAAAAAATAAATACCGGGAACACGAAATTAACGGAGGAATTACAAACGTAGAACAAAACGTGTATAATAGGACCTTGCACCTACCGACTATTACTTTTTCCAAAATTTAGACAACTTTTTAGTGGGTAAAAAATTCAATTCCCGAGAGGCAGTACAAAATGCCTTTGAAGAGTTTGTTGCCTCCTGTCCAGCTGATTTTTACAAGAAGAGCATCAATAAACTGCCAATGCGTTGGCAAAGATGCGTCGATTGCACGGGTGATTACTTCGAATAACAGAAATAAAAAAGTTTGAAAAAATAAGTACTTTCACTTATTGCATACAAAACGGCAATTTCATAGGTAAAGACCTCATATTTAGAAACACATTCTGCGATTCTCTCAAACATCATTTGTACTCACGTCACTCTTTAAGTCAATGTGTAAAAAGGCATTTTGTAACAAAAGACCGCACATGTCGCGTCATGATTAGCAGTTACCGATAGCCCCGAGAGACACTCGCTTTGATAAAAGTTTACTCCTTCATTACCTACGAGTACCAAAATTACATACATACGAGTAGAAGCACTTCAACCACCGTATATCGAATAAGTAACTTATATTTCGAACAAACGTATTTCTATTATTATTATTACCTATAACAATAATAAAATACGACTACATGTTGCCGCAACACAAGGTGTAAAACCAAAACATCAAAATTGTTAACAGATTCGTAGCAATACAAATAACTTCTAACATACAGAAGTTGAATAAACTGAACAAGCCACTTCGCTTTTGTTACAAGGCAGGGACTTCTAGTTTACGGAAATCGAGCCGTACGTAGAACACTTTCCATTTCGAGAACAATGCTGGTCCAGAACAATACTATTTGTTCTATCCAACTATGGTTATGTTTTAGAGAGAGCACACAGCTCTGGAGTAGTTTTATTATTGTAAGACTGTTAATATTGATGTCATGTCATCTTTGAGATCAACTAAAAGGCCCGAACAAAGTCCGCATAAAATGTTATCAAACTGCAAACATAAAATTTAGAACTAGTTAACTGAAATTAATATAAAATAAGACTGTTAAATTAATGTAAATGAAATGAAATGATCATATTATTAGATTCCGACGATTTCTCAGCAAGTATTAGTAATAATTTTATTATTTAATAACTTATGATTTACTACATACAGACATAGTTATTATATTTACATTTATTCAGGAGTTAAAATTATGTACCCTCTTTAAATCTGAAAACCTAGTTAATCTGGGTCGCCCCCCAAACATCATGTCTTTATTAAGTGTGATCATCCGCATGGAGTTACATTTTATTTTGTTTCGTTTCGGGAACGCTTTATTAATCATCGCAATCTGTTAAAGCTATATATTTGTGATATATCGAATTCATAGAGATTATGTAGGTATTTCAAAATGAAAATCTTAATCCATATAAGTAAGTGAAAAGTCCGTAGAAGTGTACCGCGCAAAAAACACTTTTGAACATTTTTTCACAAAATATTATTTCATTTTAAGCAAGAATTATAGTCTACAAGCAAGAACTATTAAACTTATTAAATCAAATTCAAAACTCATTCAATCGAAAACACTTTGTCTTTTTAAGGGTTATCAACTTTTCACAAAGGTAAGCACATACTTTATAATTGTTAGTTAGCCGTGGAAATGTTCTCATAAAAGTTTGACAGAGCTAACTCCTAACCCTAACCCGTTACTATGCTGTAAGCGTTTAAGCTTCATTACTATTCTGTCAGCATAGAACGTGTCCGCTAAATAGCTCTTTTCCTAACGTACACGTGATCGTTTTACCTTTACACTGAAACATAATAAAGGTACCGCTAGGCTTACGAACTTTTTGCACAAATACGACTTGTACAACGGCGAAGTTGTTGGCCACAGGCATTTCCTCCCAGTCTACCTTAGGGTAGTGCTGAAATGTGTGACTAGGTGCACTAGACATTCATGCGTGAACATTTTACCGTGGGAAAGCCATGCTTCGGCACGAATGGGCCGGCTCCACCGGAGTGATACTACGGCCTCACAGAAAACCGGTGTTAAGCAACTGTTTCGTTGCCTTTCACTGAGTGAATGAGGTTACCGGAGCCCAAATCCCCCCTCCCGCTTACTGGAGCGGGAGGGACTATAAGGGCAAAAAAAATTGGAATAAAGTAAAAGAGAATTATATCAAACAATCTTTTTGAACAGTTTGCTCAAGTGTAAAATTTTAACAAAAACCGGCGTGTGGGATTATTTACGAGTATATCTGAGTACGAAGGATACCAAAAATACCACTAGGATTCAAAATACAGTTTCACGGTTATTGAAACTGTTAGTTTATTTCGCGAAAAGAAGAAAAATCCTGATCTTTAAAAAGTTAGTCTTTAGTGTGTGTGTGTGTGTGTTTAAAGTGTAATCAGTTATTAGCAATACTTTCGGTTTTAACAAGTTACCGGTTTGAAAGAAAAATAAATGCGTCAGTAAAGCTTTCCAAGTCAGCTCAAAATCACGCCCATTAGTTTTTATAAAATCGAAATAACTTCGCAAATAATCTGTAAATTTTTGCTCGCTTTTATTAAATTTGTTGTGTTAACGATGAATGATGTATTTTCTTTATACATAAGAAGTATATTCATTATTCTTTCTGAATAATGAATATACATTATTCTTTCTGAATAATGAATATATGAATATAAAAAATATGTTAGACATAGAATGTTGGTGTGAATAAATTGTTTTTTTTAGCTTAAAACCTATGTAATATGATTTACTTTATAAATTTAATAAAATAAATAATGCCAAAGACGTTAAAGTTAACAGCATAACATTTCACTCGAAAGTCTGCTGCTACTCCATTTTTTCGTTCTTTTTTCTCTACTTTAACGATTCTAATGTATTCATTATAATTTCTTATCAGTTCTTTTTGATGGCAAACTTTTAGAATATCTAGGACGGTAGGTCAGATAATCATCTTATATTTTTTTTATTCCAGATTGTTAGGAAACCTGGGCTCTTAAATTCATTTAGTCACCAGCCTCTGATACTAATTTATATACCCCTAATTTTTCTTCGCCTACCTATTTACCACATTTATTTTCTCTGCAGACAAAATGGCAATTCCAAATACATTATACCGCCCCACAATCGTAACAGGTGGATCGTAATAGATTTCCGATAACAGGATTAAATACGGAACTGCAGACTTGGGATCCAATTTGGCCAATAAACGTGAAAAAAGAAAAACATCTTAATAAATTCCATCTGACAGAAGCAAATCAATATAAATATGATTATTTTTAAAAGCGCTTATTTGCGTTTATTTACGTATGACTTCATTTTTGTTAAAGCTTGTTATTATTAATAAATTTCATCAGAAAGAAAACAAGTCAATACAAATATGGTTATTTTTAAAAGCATCTATTTACGTATGACTTCATTTATGCTAAAGCTTATTGTTATAAGAAGAAAACGAATGCCACTAAACTATAAAAATAATCTTAAAATACTTTTTTAACCTCAAAACCGCCAGTGGACTACTAGGGGATGTTGATGATGATGATGATGAAATATACTGTGACTAATAGCAGAACTTCTCGACTGGGTAATACACAATTGAACTAATAGTCTTGTTCATCCGAATTTAAGTCCATAAAATGTCAAATATTTTCAGATAAAGCAGTTTTCACCTTCACACCTTGATATAACGGTTTGAAAAACTTTTAATAAGGGCCCTCTAATTAAAAGTACGTCTTTTATAAATACTTAGTAGTTCTACAATGCTTAAAAGTGAACCACTGGTAATAGGCCATTAAATTCTACGTCTTAGACAATTTAATACTTAATTAAATCTATATAAGTCTGGTAAACAAAAGAAACACAAAACACTTAACTGTTAACATATTTTTGTTTGTTCTTTGTGGTCGTGATAATAGCTTTTGCCTGAAATAAATTAGTATTGAGCCTCTGTTTATACTAAAATCAAAAGCAATTTCTCTTAAGAACAGGAGACGATTTGTATAGGATACGCCGTTCGCTAACTACATAAATTTAAATTTCTACCTCTTCTCTAAAAAAACCAATTCTTTTACGTAACCACCACTTCACAAAGATTGTGAATAATGAAAAAAGCAATATAAATATTTTTTGTAAAGCTTGAAATGTACTGTTCTCAGGTCATCGCGCCCACACTGTGTTCGTGGGAGTACATGTGCCAGCCAGACGACATTCGCACAGGAAGCACAAGCACCACCGCAACGGTGACAAGGATGCTGAGAGGCCTGGTAATATTGCTATTATTTACTAATATATATTCTTATATCGAAGTATTGAAATAAATCGCACAACTTCGTGACCTGTATATTGTATATATTGTAATTATTTGTATATACAAAAGCTATGTCTGACGATGCTACTGTTGATTACGGCAAAGTAAATTTTTACGCGTAGAAGTTCTTAATGTATTCACTTGCCGAAAACAATGTCTTTCTTTAAATAATTTATCTGAAACGCTCGAGAGAGGGGCGCCACTATCAAGTTTCTGCCCCGGTTCGAAAAAATCTGCTGCCGGCTGCCGTTCACATTTGAATAAAACGTTTTTTTCGGTAGAGTATCTTACTCTAGATAAACTGTTCTGTATTCAGTTAAAAATATTCATTAAATAAAAGCAAAACAACAAAATTACAAGCTGTGGTACCAAAAAAAATTATTAGATTGTACTTTGTTGGCTAAACAAGAAAAATAATGATATTATTTGAAGCGTACTTGCTACTTACTTATACAAAATTAGTTGCTTTGATACAAACAACAATACTACTTGTTAGCTTCTGTTCTATAATAAAGCATTAATTTTTGGTCTTTATTTGGGTTATTTGTTGGACTGCACGAATGGCGTTGTGGTTTAAGCGGTCGCCACGCCGCTTCTTACTGCGCCCAGTGTTGTGGGTTTAAGCCCCACATGGGACGACACTTTGTGTGATCCACAAATTGTTGTTCTGAGTCTGGGTGTTCTGTGTGTATGTTTCATGTATGTTTGTAAACTCCCCCGCAACACACGATATATTCCTAATAAGGGAGTTGTCTTTTTTAAAAATAAAAAATAAGAAATGAAAAATTTATTCAACGTCAATAGAAACTTTATTTACTGTTTGTTAGAAAAATATACATAATATTCCCAATTCATAGGACCAGGCTTAATGACACGAGTTAGAAGATTAAGCGTCACGGATGACGGTGAAACATGTAAGACATCGTAGTAGACGTCATCTCTGAATTCAACTTAATTTCTTCTCTAATTTTCTTTATTTCAAGAATCCTCACTTAGTCTTTGTTTTCTGAATAAGCATGGATTACTCAAGATTTAAAAAATCATTTCTTTTCGATGATTGTTTTAACATGTTATTGCTACTTTCACTTTTTGTTTCTTTTATTCATGAGACTTAGTTGTAGTCTTTGAAGTTCATTTTAGCTTTAGTTTAAGTATTCTTTTATAAGTATTGCTATGATTTCAGTGACGCCACCAGCTCAAAGAGTACAATTTATTCTTGGAGAAGACCTAGACGATGCCACTTTTGAATCCCATCCGTTGTTTTCCGAAATGGAGGAATTGGTCAAAGACGGCGATGAACTTGAATGGAAAGAAACCGCCAGATGGATCAAGTTCGAGGAAGATGTTGAAGAGGGTGGAAATCGTTGGTCAAAACCCCACGTAGCCACATTATCTCTTCACTCACTATTTGAATTGAGAAGTCTTATACTAAACGGGTCCGTCATTTTAGACATGGAAGCAAGCTCTTTGGAACACGTGGCTGATAACGTTCTAAATAATATGGTAGCCGACGGCACCTTAGGATATGATTCCAGAGAGAAAGTTAAAGATGCTTTATTAAGACGACATAGGCATCAACATGAGAGACGAAACCATAACAATATGTCAAGACTTCCCCTTATCCGATCACTAGCTGATATTGGACGAAACCACTCTTCGTGTAAAAGTGAGTACCTAAAATTAATATTTCAAAAACAGAATATTTTTTATAATAGTTATACCAACAAATTCATAGGTCATCCGATCCCATCAGATTTCCAGGAAGGTGGCTCTCGACGCTCTGGTTCGAGGAGTTGTCGGGGGTCCACCTCGTCTCCTCACACCGCTCTTCTTCAAGCGTCAGATGCCAGGGGTTCTTATCTAGCAGTACCAGGTTAGCCATGCGTGTGAAACGATAACACTAACTGCTCACTGAATCACACCCTTTTACTGACATTTACTATAGCACGCACTAAGGCTAATTTTGTTATTGTATACTATATGTTCTCGGTGTATTGTGTGGAAACTATACCTAATTTTAACTTTGTATTTTGCTATGTTTATTCTAAGATACCTTTGAAAATTGGCATTATATTCCTTACAGTTGAGGAAGGCGGTACAACAAGTGGGCACTCTTACAAAGGAGAATTCAGTCGTTTCCTAGGCATCCCTAATGCGGGTAACCGCTTATCCTCTTCAATGTTGTTTCTTCTCTTATCATTTTTTTAAATTAGTTGTATCATCTGCATTTATCTTTATGTCTATTACCGTATTGAACATTGCCTTATACATATTATAGAAATCAAAAGCTCACTTAGGACCCATAATATTTTGGGGTTTTTCGTTTTGTCACCCGCTTTACTAATGAGGGAAGTGGATTTACGTTACTTCCAACTCCTCAAATTTTCTTCTGATTAATTTTGTTGCGGGTTCCACGGCAATTCATTTTTTTCCTGGGACTTCCCGAGTGTCATAACTCGGTGTGTTAGTGGGTCACTGCTGTTGATCCTGTACAGGAGTTACAGTGGTGGACTTGTGGGAGGGATTAGTCCCATCACCGTATTGAACACCGGTGTCATGCCAAGAATTTCGCTATCATGTCAGCTTTCATTCCATACTTATTTAGATTTTTTCAAAATTGTTATGTTGATGTTCTTTTGATGAAAAAGCCATCAAGATGGTTATAATCACATAACTGGGTCATTGATGTATTTGCTCCAAATGTTATCTTTTTTGTCAAGTCCTAATCTAATAGCTACGTTATACTTTATTACTAATTTTATGTGTGATGCTTGAACACAACTGCGCACTTTTCTTTTTTATTTGTTACGATTTAAGTATGTATGTATGGTATGTATGCAAGTATGTTTGTATTTACAAAAAGGAATGTTACAGGTGGTGGACACGATGATGGTATGGTAAAAAGTCCAAGTAGCATATCTATGCAACGTAATCACAGTACTGGAGATCTACCAATGAATGGAGATATAAACCACAAATGTAATACAAATTTCATGAGGAAAATTCCACCTGGTGCAGAAGCATCCAACATTCTAGTCGGTGAAGTAGATTTTCTTGAGAAAACTCTGTCGGCCTTTGTAAGACTTAAAACTGGTACGATAATGGGAGATTTAACCGAGGTCCCAGTACCTACAAGGTTTATGTTTGTGCTACTCGGTCCACCGAATAGCAACTCCAGTTTTCATGAAATTGGCCGCGCTATGGCTACATTAATGTCGGATGAAATATTTCATGAAGTTGCTTATAGAGCTAGAAAAAGAGATCATCTTTTAGCTGGGATAGACGAATTCCTTGATGCAGTAACTGTTCTACCCCCAGGTGAATGGGATCCTTCTATCCGCATAGAGCCTCCAGCAGCTATACCTTCACAAGATCCTAGAAAGCGTCCTAATGATAACAGCCATAAAGAAGAGTTTGACGAAGAAGAAGAAGAACAAAAACAAAGAGAGGAATCAGGGTTGGCACGAACTGGACGACTATTTGGAGGTTTGAAAAATGACCTTAGAAGAAAGATCCCTTGGTATTGGTCGGATTTCAAAGATGCATTAGCCATACAATGTGTTGCGTCGTGGATATTTTTATATTTTGCTTGTTTATCACCCATTATAACTTTTGGAGGACTTTTAGGAGAAGCTACTGGAAAAAATATGGCGGCAATGGAGTCTTTAATTTCAGGATTTATTTGTGGAATGGGTTACGGTTTCTTTTCAGGACAACCATTGACAATCCTAGGATCAACCGGTCCCGTTTTAGTATTTGAGACAATTGTATTTGAGTTCTGCAGACAAATTGGTTGGAACTACATGTCATTTAGGTTTTGTATCGGGACGTGGATAACGATCATTTTAATTATATTAGTAGCAATAGATGCCAGTGCACTTGTCTGCTATATAACAAGATTCACTGAAGAGAATTTTGCTACTCTAATAGCCTTTATTTTCATTTACAAGGTAATTAAACAATTCATAAATAAGTATTTCAAACTCAAATGAACGTGGCCTAACAATGTCTTATTTTATAATGTTGTAGGCAGTGGAAAATGTAATATCAATTGGTAAAAAATATCCCCTAAAGACACGCCCAGATGAAATTCTCAATTATGAGTGCTATTGTTTGCCAAGCAATTACTCTAAAGTACCAGAACAATTTAATTGGACATCAGTGGACAAAGACTCTTGTCAGGTATTAAATTAACGTATTTGAAACACTTCAAATTGATTATTTTCCGGTAAATAAATACTAAGATATTGTTGTTTTAGCTTTATAATGGAACTCTAGCTGGTGGAGGGTGTGATACAAAAGTCTATGTACCAGATGTTTTTTTAATGTCTATTATTCTTTTCCTTGGTACGTTTATTATATCAGTAATCTTAAAGGACTTCAAGAACTCATTATTTTTTCCATCTAAGGTAAAACTTAATTCATTCAAACCAAATGTATTTGTTATTTTTTTAAATTTCATATAAACTATTTTAATTTTAGGTTCGACAAATCATAAGTGACTTCTCCGTGATCATAGCAATATTGTCAATGTCGTTTTTGGATTACAAAGTTGGTGTAAAAACGCCAAAACTGGAAGTACCTTCCGAATTTAAACCAACATTACCAACACGAAACTGGGTCATTACTCCATTTAATGGTAATCCAGTATGGTCTTCATTAGTAGCAATTTTACCAGCGTTGTTAGGGACTATACTCATATTTATGGACCAACAAATTACAGCTGTTATAGTCAATCGCAAAGAGAATAAACTCAAGAAAGGATGTGGTTATCACTTGGATTTATTCGTCTTAGCAATACTTATTCAAATATGCTCTGTTATGGGACTGCCATGGTTTGTTGCAGCAACAGTACTGAGTATTAATCACGTGAATTCTTTAAAAGTAGAGTCAGAATGTGCTGCTCCAGGAGAAAAACCACAGTTTTTAGGAGTTCGCGAACAGAGAGTCACTCATATTTTGATTTTCTTAATGATAGGATGTTCAGTTGTATTAACACCAGTTTTAAGTCACATACCGATGCCTGTGTTATTTGGAGTATTTCTTTACATGGGAGTTGCATCGTTGAAGGGCCTTCAATTCTTTGATAGAATTTTGATCATGTTTATGCCACAAAAGTATCAACCGGATCATATGTTTCTACGGCAGGTAAGTTTCCTTCCGGATTTTACATAAAAAAATTCTTCTCTGAAAACAAGAAAAATATAATATGTGTTTCTCAACTTCATGTACTCTGTTTGCAGGTGCCAATACGACGCGTACATATATTTACAGCTATTCAATTGACATGCCTAGTCTGTCTATGGGTAATTAAATCATTTTCAATGACGTCAATACTTTTCCCACTGATGTTAGTAGTAATGGTTGGCATCAGGAAAGCTCTGGACTTATTCTTCACAAGGAGAGAGATGAAGATACTTGATGATGTGATGCCAGAAATGACAAAGAGGAATCAGGATGAACTACGAGAACTCGGAGACGCAGAGGTGGGATGGCATGCAAAAATACTAAAACTTTGCCGTTGAAACTAAAATGTTTTCCCAAACTCAATTTAGTTTTTCTTTCATCATTCTCTAGTTTAATTATTTTCGTTCATGTATTTGAATGTACTATGAAATAAACTCAGTCTTATGTTACACACACGCATTTTATTTTTGCTATCATTACAATTTTCCTCATGTTTTCCATGATTCCATTTAGATGTCACTATGATGGTGAGTAGTATATTCACTTTATTATAGATATTTCGATATTTCAGATTTCATTCCTAATTAAGAGTTTTAATTTCGTTAAAGAAATTTCTTGTACTTCTAGAAACTTCTTTCTTTTTCTAACCCTTAAAGGAAGCGAACAAGAATACTCCACCGACATATCAAGAGAATCTTCAGATCCCGCTTATTAACGGCAATATAATGAACATACCATTGGCATCAATAAATATATCGGAGGAAGTAAATAAAACCGGCATTTGGAAGCAAGTTAACAATGGCAACCAAATGAAAGGTCGCGATGGAAAGGATATGAAGTCCAAGATGGGAAAGAAGAAGTAAGTACTGCAGAATAAACTTTATACCTATATTTCTGTATAGTAGAATTGAATTACATGCACCTGTGCACGTGTGATGACATTATAATGACGAAATATGTTACTAACTTTCTTTATTGCAAAGAAACTAAGAGAGAGATTAATTATTTTTCATCAAATCTTAATTAAGAAACCCGCTGTTATGGGTTTTAAATACAAATTTAATTATGTAATTAAACATTACAAAAAACATTTTTAAGATGTGTTCATGTTTCGTAATAGTACCTACTTATACTTAGATACGACGGCCGGATGGCGTAGTGGTTTGTGTAACGGACTGCTATTCCAAAGGTCGCGGGTTCGATTCCCGCTCAAGTCAAACATTTGTGTGCATGAACATGATTTAATGTTTGATTTGGTCTGGATGTATCTATGTATAATATGTATGTATTTACAAAAAAAAAGTATATAATGTATTTATATCAGTTGTCTAGCACCCATAGTACAAGCTCTGCTTAGTTTTGGACTAGATGGCGCTGTGTGGATGTAAAAAAATAACCTTACTTATATTTTTTTTCTATATTCTTATTGAAGTTATTGTCAACAGTAATAAACACAAGAAACATATATCCAAAAACGCGCAATCAGAAGTGGAAAGACGACTGTCCACTATGGATGAGGTTGAAGAGGACGACTCCGTAGTCAAGGTGGCTGTCAGCGACACCAAGTTTTAAGCGCAGCATGTTTGTGCACTACTCTGGAAGACACTGCATGAACCACAATACAGAGTGCATGATGTACAAACTAGCATATTATATTCATAAGTTAGTAATATTTTTCTCAGAATTCAGACTATCCAGATTGTAACTAGCGATGTACGTGGCGCCTACTATCGCTAAATTGCGCGTAAATCGTGCCTTTGCATGCGTCATCACAACAAAAGGTGCATTAACGAATCGTCCGATTATGTAATGTGCTGGTAATTTAAGTACACAAAAATTTATGTCATAAAGGTCGCACTTAAACCAGTGCTGTTTGGATGTGAAATTATAAAATTCGAGAACAGTTATAAACGGATTCGCCGAGCCTGTCTCTAAACTTGTCACTGAAATTGAAATGAATTTAATTTTTTTTAGAAACCTAAATAACATTATAATTTTTATTTGGATCTTAGTAAAACATTGTTAAGAAATATGGAGAAGATTATTTACAGTTCGCTTTAGTCTTTACAAACCCTTAAATGTACATGATCAATTTCAATTAATGATAGGTATCACACAATATGACAAAGTATCAACAAACACCAATATTTTTCTACATCGCAATGACGTAAATAGGTTGTTTTTAATCTAAGTATAATATTTATTTTGTTAAGTTTTATATATTCTACTTTACAAGTTACAAAAAAATAGTTTTAAAGAAATTCTGTCGGAGTGTTCCTCTAAATGTATAACTAAATTAGGTACACAACTCTCACAAAAAATATTGCTACTGTTTACTTTACGATGTTAATTCTATGGAATAGTTAGACGACTAAATTAAAACTGTAATATTTTAGTAGACTCCCTTATTTTATTAGAAAGTAGTGGTTGTTTATATAAGTGTTGTAAAGATCTACCACTAGAAAATTTAATAAGTTTGTATAAAACAACCTTTTGCCGAAATAGTTCAAATGTAATGCTTTGTGTGTTAATTATTATTCCTGCACTTGTTTGCACTTCTCTTTATTGTATAAAGGTACATTAGAACGTACTTTTTTTGCATGTATTTATCTCGGAAAGCATGTTTTTATACTTACTTTAAAATATTTATGTATATTATGTAAGTATTCATAAGTTATAAATGTATTGTTTGACCCGTTAACACCTTAGATACTTATAAATTATATGACTTTGTATGGAATTCTAAACGATTTTCAGAACGATCTCATAAGGCGTAAAGATTCTTGGAGCAGTGGTATAAGAAAAAGTGAATCTAGAAAAAGCAGCACATCAGCTGAAACGTCGGTCTAAAATTATATATCAATACTAAAATTAGTAGCGAAATGTCACGAAACGCGAAGCCTTTCAATGGCAGTTGTAAAACCAATCATGGTACCTAGACACAGAAGAACCCGGCTGAGGTGCACGGCGTTAGTAAGAAGAGAGTAATTAATTCAAACATTGTATCTATCGGTCAAAGGGAAAGGGAGCTTAATGTGGTTTAAAGCCGTAAACGTTAAGATCAAGAGCATCATAGACACATATTTGTCATGTTTAAAAATATAGATGAAGCATAGGTATTCATCTTCATCTTAAAGTTGAAAATCACAATCTGCATAAAGGACGCTTTCATAATTTTGCACGGTAACGACACGTGTCTTTATTTTTACCGTCGCAATTTTATTAGATTTAAAATATTGAATAAATATGCTTTTAATGTTTCATTAACGACAACGTCATGTTGTGCAATATGCCGTGACGTGTAAAATTATAATAGTAACGACGATATCAATCGTTTAAAATAAATATTTTAAAATTTACGCGCGTTTCTGTGACAGGCAAGAACTAGATTTAAATACTAAATGTCTTTACTGTTTTAGTTTGTAAGGCAATTGGCACAAAGTGTGTTATAATGTAGGACACCATTAATTGTTGTATACATTAGGTCCTTTACTGTATAGCCAGGATTAGATTTTTGGGATATGTTTCCGATCCTCATTCATTGTCAATATTAAGTATGTTTACTGTTTACGGCGTTTTTCACACTACACTGCCTATCTTCGCTAGCAAGCGATATCTAAATCGTTTTTATGTCATCCGATTCCGATGAATATTTTATATTTAGGCTTGAATTTTTACTACTGAACTTAATAGCTTTAGATGAGGTGAATCAGTTTAAAAGAAAAACGCAGTGTTGTGTGTAAAATCCGTAAACTAACAGTATAATCAAGGAAAAAAGCACATTAGGATAAGAGATTATTGAATTAAAAGAGTGGGTAAATGTGATATTTAGGCGCTTCTTTTTCTAGAATATTTCCTTGGTTGTACAAAAGGGTGCTCTATTTCTCATTCTTTTAATTAGTTAACAACGCCTAGAATTCATTCACATAAATTTACTAAATACGCCACTAAAAACGCAACAACACAACTACGCTAAAAATTGTAACTACTTTAAAAAAAAAGAGGGGATTAGGTAGTGCGGAGTCCGTATGGTGTCGGATTAAGAATACAAACTTTCACCATACCTGTCATCCCGTGTGTGTCGTAAGAGCAAACTACGCAGGACAACAGTACTTGACTGCAAAAAGAGAAGGAAACCCCCTCGGGCCGTCACCCCACCGGGGTTTACGGCAGGGTGGTGTGTCGCAATCGGACCGACTAAAACTACACGGTGTGCACTCTGCGCCTGTAATAGGAGGGATCCGGGAACTGTTGTTATTAAGACATCCGAACCCCTCCTAGCGACTGTTAAAAGCTGTTCATGAGGTAGTGAATAAGATACTTATTGTTTTTGTTTATTGCTTTCTTCTTTTATTAGTTAAGCTGTAATATTTGTATATTTACAAATATTGCAGCTTAACTATCCCCTGTTTGTTGTAAAAGGCTCCATGGTCTAAAGTAAAAAATGGAAATACGAATCTGCAAGACAACTGCTATAGAATAGGTTGGTAATTTCAAGTACGTAGAAACAGTTTTTCCCTGAATTATCAGGGCAAAACTGTTCTGTTTCCTTACCTATCCTAGGTTGAAGAGACTACCGTCCAAAGTGTGGCAGCCCTTCTACTTGAAGTAACCACTACCATTTATAAGGAGGTAATCATGGGTGTGTTAATTAACACAATAGAGTGATAAATATAGCACCACACTATAATTATACCAATAAGCTAAATTAACATACTAACAGTTGTTTCAATACACAAAATTAATTAAACGAAGTGCCAATAGAATAAACACCAATAGATATTAGATTTGTAAACATTTTCGCCCGTTTAGATACTAAAATGAGAAAATAGGTTTATAAACAAATATTGCTATCGGATATTAATGTTTTAGCTCGTTTGAATAAACATGTATTTATTTATTTTATTTCAACAGAATAATTTATGAGTATATTTTTGGAAATCGGAATTTAAACGCAGTAATATTTGGAAGGTTAAAACATTAAATGTTTTTTTGGTTCCGGTACCTGAACCGAATAGGGTACCTTCATTAAAATTTATTTTAAAACTTTTGCCGGGTTTTAATAATTCTAAACATATGGAGCTAACTGTATTTATCTTACTTTGGATTCGTTTAGTTATTGTTATTGAATACCTAGTTATTACTTATAATAAGTTTATATTAATATTTTTCTATTCATATCTCATTAGCTTCTCTTATAAGCTTTAGAAACTCCCATAGAGCAAGATTTTCATTATTAAAACGACCATAGATAGTATTCTAGATACTTTTATAATTGTTACTGTAGTGCCGATTAGAGATTTTTAGTTACCTTATTATATATATATATATTACGACAATTAGGTACTAATGTGATAATAAAAAAAGGTTATTTTACCCAATGCTCATTATACCCTGTAATGAATAAATAAATAATACAAGTCCTAAATATTATAATCAAGCAAACCTTTAAAGTAGAGATGTGCCGACCACGTCTTTGGCCTACTAGCCGATTATTTGGTTGTAAAAATCCCGACTAGTCGGCCAAGCAGCTCACGGTTTCGGTGGTTTACTTTACACTGATTTGTGGGCAAATAGCAAGTACGACCTGCGAGCGTGTCACCTGTCCGCACATGTTTTGTTAATATACTTCGCTTGTTCTTGTATCTTTTAGTGTTCAGAACGGTGTTATTGTGTAAAAAAAACTAATATTAAATATCACAGTGAAAGAGCTTACTTAAACATTCATCATGTCAAATAGAAAGTCTCAAAGTAAGAAGCTGAATAGTCGGATTTATCGACTAGTTGGAAGGAACATCTCTAGTTTAAAGTATTTACAAGCTTCAAATATATTTAATATTTGTCGCATTACGATCAAGAGGTAGCGGGTCCGGAAATCATTCGGTACACAATGGCGCTACTCTCAAACCAAATCAACTATTTCCAACACTATTTTAAAATGTAGTTTTAGTTAAAAATAATTTTTGATACATATTACCGTCCTTAAAAAGAAATCGATATACCTTTCACAATCTATAAAGGTATTCGCCTTTGAGAATCATATTTTTTTCTTTTGAGTCATCATCTATCTATTTAAATAATACCTACTTCAGTCTATCACTTGAGAATATCTAGAGGGATTTGGCTCAATCTTTCTTTTTCATGATAAGAAGTACTTGATGTTAATGACAGTGCGGGCAAAATCTAGGCATTTTTCTATTCAATTAATACAAATTTATAAAATCCAAGACAGTCTGTAAAGTCAATTAGTCGTATTAAAAATCAGTTCCAATTTTTTTTCTCCAGTGTTTAGAAAGCTGTAAACTAATAGCGTAATTAAAAGATTTTAACTCTGTAGATATGACATTAAAGAAGAATCTCACATATGTTTATCTATATAAAACGTTTAATCCTCTACAATTTTACTCAATTCAATCTTAAAACTATTTCCTGTAGCCTAAATAAGTCAATCGTAATAATATAACGTTGTTTATAACTAACCTTAGCATATGCGTAATGTTAGCAAAACAATTATTATTTGTACCTGGAGTGTTTGTTACGATTTTTATTGTTTTTGGAATATATTTGTGGAATGTTATGAATAAATGGGTTTTTATAAATGTGTTTGATGTGTACTTATTTATGACCTACTATTTTACGAAGACTAATAAATAACTGGAAACATTTTAAATGAAATTATACTATGATTAGCAGCTTACGAAGTTTTTGCGTAGTGGGATGCATGCCACTGCTTAGTTGTGGAATCCAGCGATAAAAATAGCTTTTTTAATCTAAGAAGCTCTTCAAAAACCTGCTGCAGATATTTTGTTAATTTATAATCTGATAATTTCTGTTTATATGATAAAATTTAGTTTTGTCAGGTGATAATTATTATCAGGCAATCCGGTAGAATCATCGGATAAAGATCCGCCATTAATCAGACGAATTAATTACAAGATACTTACCGATATTAAGCTTTAGCAAATAAGACATATTGTTTAAATCAAACTCCAAAATATAAATCAATAATTATATTACACTAATTTATATTGACCTTAATATATTCATAAAAATAAAATAAATACTAAATATTAGTAGGCGGTTAGTTCTTGGTCTTCTTCTTGTCAGGGAGTAGTCCCATTTCCTCCTGGTATCTCCTGATCAGCTGTTCTTGTACGTCGGGTAAGCAGGGTGAGTATCTACTGTATTCCATACTGAACTCGCCTTTACCTTGGGTCATTGATCTGGAACGGAAGGTTTGTTTCAGAAATGGAAATTATTGCTACTCTTAAATCATATTAATTTGATGAAATTATTGGTTTTAGTCACAGCGATTTCACATGTGATTGTGATGTCGTCATGGAAAAAGATAAATGGCCATTAAAATCAATCAAAATTATTTTTCTCAAAGATCGATTTTTTTGTTTATTTTTATTTAGACCTTTCGCGATTTTTTATTTAGAAGCAGTGGTTTAGTAAATCAGTCACAGGTGTGATGAAATGATTTTCATATTATTTGACATGCCATTGTGATTTTATTCCATCTCTAGTTTGTTTATATTTAGTTAAAAGGCAAAAGGTCCTTATAAGAATATGTTGCACCTTTAGCTATTAGCTTGCTCTTTATAATGAAGAATCTTTTGGTTGAATGCGATTATATTTTGAATTCCAGTCGTATTTAAAATGTGTGTGTAAAATAAATTTGTTAAAAGTAAAAAAAAATATGGCCCCATTTCAAAGAAAGTTTATAGACTATTTTACGTCACGCTATAGCCGTTAGGAGCGGAGTGCAACTGCGAGGAATGGTTAGTAAAACATACTAAGAGTGTCTTAAGAAAATTTCAACAAATCTTAATTAATTTTGTTTTTATATATGAAATAAACACTTACCTAAGTTCACCAGCATATCCAAACATGTTATTGAGAGGCACTTCCGCGTATATAGTGGTCCATCCCTCAGAGCCCTCTGTTCCAGTGATAATACCGCCTCTTTTATTCAATTGGCCAATCACCGTACCGTGAAATTCGTCAGGGAGCGTCACTTCCACAAACATGATAGGTTCTAAGATTTGCCAAGCGCCATCTTCGAATACTGAAAATAAATATATACTTGTTATTAAATAAATAACTCTACTATTAAATAACTCGAAAAAGGATGTATTGTCTGTCTCTAATAAAAACAGTAAACTGTAACGTAAAAAGATATGGTAAGTCACTTTAAATTTAGCAAAATTTAATGCCAATCTCGGCATCTAGCATTTTTATTTTTATTAACTAGCTCTTGCCTACGGCTACGCTTGCGTGTTTCTAACTTTCAAAATAACGAACTTCTTAACAACCAATCATCTGAAATTACCAAAAATCCTTTCTTAATGGGTGCTTACAAGATTTTACAGATGGGGTCGAACAAGATCACCGCTTAAACCACTACACCATTCGCGTAGTCAATTTTTATCCTATTTTAGCTCTGATTGTCATTGAACCACTCTTGTTATGGACCTATTTACGCGCAATATTGACAACTCTAAGGCCATATCATCGTTTACCTTCTTTGACGGCTCCTTTAGCAGCTAAGAAGAAAGCCAGTTCGCTGGAGTCCACGATGTGATGTGCACCGTCTTGCAGTCGGAACTTAACGCCCGACACTTTGTGGCCCGACAGATAACCCTTCTGGCATGTGTCCAAGAAACCCTTCTCTACCCCAGGAATGAATTGCTTCGGGACATTCGTACCGACAGTCTCGTCTACGAATTCCAACACTGTAATAAAAAGTTGATTATAAGAATTGGAATGACCTTAGTGTGTGACCTTTGAAGCTTTACGATAGTAGCTGGCAAGTAAGTACACTACGACAAATTACAATCGAACTCAGGTACCGTTCTAAATTTAATAATGAGTGTAGGATTAATAAACAATCTATATTTAGGCTAGGAATATTTTAGTTGATTCGAATCCTACAGAACCAAGTACCCAGTGGTTATAAAGTGGAACGAACCGACTAAAACCATATAAAATTTCATTAGACGTGTTTAGGGATGTAGTTATTTTTTTTTTCGATTCCCATTGAAATACAATTTCAACAAAGAAATTTTTCACAGACTTCCTTTGACTATCTGTTAATATAACTGCTATCTAACTTTTGTATAAATATATTTATAAATTATACTTTTTTTATTGAATTATAGATTAATATATTGTATCCCCCATTTAAAATTAATATATTGTCTATTACGTGAATGTTACCTGTATTTTGATGCGCTTCCAGCGGTTCTATAATACCAGTGACCCTGGCGTACTGGCCAGCACCACCGGACTGCTTCTTGTGTAAGTAGTCGAATTTACAAGGAGACATCATTGTTTCTCTGAAATATGAAAAAAAAAGAAGGTTTATTAACACTTTCAAACGAGCAGACGGGTCACCTGATGACCGCTCATAAACACCTGCAACTACAGAGTCATAAGTGCTTTGCCGACCTTTTGGGGGAACAGGATTTGGCCTTCAATAACCTCGCCCTCTCGGTTCAAGATAATAATGAATATTATTATCATCATCATCAACAGCCTTTAATAGTCCACTGCTGGATACAGGCCTCTCCTTAGAAAGGAGGTTTTGGCCTACTTTACCACACTAGCCAGACGAGTTTGTATAGGTTATTGTGTCAAGTTTTTCTTCTCTTGTTAATATTATCAGCAAGTTTAAAAAGTAAATTAGCAATGGGTCAATCTGATTCAAGTAATGAGATAGAGAGAGAAACTGTGTGAGAGGAGTTTTCTTCCTGATGCTTTAATATGGTAGAAGATTAAATCTGTACTATTAGAGAAGAACTACTACTATTAGAGATAGATGTCATAGAAGAATCATAGATAACTCTAATATATAACTCACCTAAACGCTACCTTCGGCTTGCCCAATTCAACAGGACAATTGTATTCCCTCTCCATTCTCTGAGCATATATTTCTAAATGTAACTCCCCCATACCAGATGCAATGGTCTCTTTGTTATCAGGGTCATAACGAAACTGGAATGTGGGGTCTTCTTTGGTGAATCTGAAACAATAAAGTATGTTTGTTATAAAATTAAGATACTATGATCTTTTTTAAGAATAACAGATGTATGGTGTAAGGATTAAAAACAATATTATAAAATATTAACTGCGCAGTGGTAGCTTATGCGACTGTTGTGCTGAGGTCTAGGGTTCGATTCCCGGATTCGGAGTTTGGGTATTTTCCATAAATATTATGTATGTATTTACAAAAAAATAAGTATTTAATTATTCTATCAGTCAATCTAGTTTTCATAGTACAAGCTCTGCTCCGTTTGAAACTAGATGGCGTTGTATGTTATATGTCTGAAATATATATTCGTTTTTGAATAATTTTTAAATAACTTTAATCTAAAAAAAGTAATGTTTTTATATTCACTACTTAGTAAATTAATGAATATTCAGTAGAAATTATTGACATATAGATTCTTACCGAGCCACAGCCTTTGAGAAATTGTCCCTATCTTTATTGTTCTTTGGTTTAATCGACATTGACACCACAGGATCAGGTACGTGTATAGACTCCATTGCTAACTGCAGCTTGCTATTGTTCACAAATGTGTCACCTGACGCGCAATCTACACCGAACAACGCAAATATATCGCCAGCCATCACTTCATTAACTTCTTCCATATTGTTTGAGTGCATGCGTACTAGGCGAGAAATCTTCACCTAAAATAAAAAGATATACACATATAGAGATACCGCATCTTACAAAAAATATTTTCTCTTTTCTTCTTTTTCACTTATACATTTACTCGTACGTATACATGTGATGGTGTCCCTCGTATAGATAATTTATCTTATATATATAAAAAAATCGGACAAGTGCGAGTCGGACTCGTCCACAAAGGTTTCTAGACATTTGTAGGTACATATTATAAATAGGTAATTAGTTCACGAAATCGAGTCTCGCAGTTTTTGTTTCCGAGCTTTTCACGAAATTCGGTTTTAAAAACTTTTAAATACTTATTGTATTTTATAAGTGAAATTGTACCTCGATTATTGATTACGTACTTTAAATAAATACTTTTTTTATTTAATTACAAATTTATAGTTTTCAGATTTTTTCCCGGACTTGTAATAAAATATTTCTTGCCAAATTTCATAGTTTTAGGTCAACGGGAAGTACCCTATAAATTTTGAGTCCCTTGAGAGAGTCGAAATATGCTTTTCTGTGGAATAAACGGCCGTTTATTTTTTTCGTTAATTTAGAAGTTTGGTTCTAGGGACTGTAGACCTGAGTATATGGTTTCAATTTCAACTAGACAACTCCAAGCGATCCCAAAATAAAGCGTCTTGATAGACAGACGGAAAACAAAGTGATCCTATAAGGGATCCACTTTTTCCTTTGAACCCTAAAAACAATATCTTATTTTTCGTTTAATACGTGCTGCCGAATTGTTTATTCGATCATCATAAAAATTTCATATATCCAGTATACAATTTTGTCAGGGACATAATAAAAAACTAAACCTTACATCCAGAAAATATCTTCCTGCAATGGAAATATTTACATTTACAATCTTAATCAGACAAAAACAAAAAAATATCCTACCTTTTTTCCAGTCCTAGCATTAAAGATATTCTCTCCCCTTTTCAACATTCCTTGATAACACCTCAAGTATGTCAGTTGTCCAAATTTGCTCACTTCTAACTTAAATGCAAGACCTACAAATGGTTCCTTATCACTTCTAGCCGGATTTAGAATTATTGTTTCGCCTTCTCCATCTTTACCCTCATTTATTAAAGCAGTATTCTCCACTTCGCCAGGATGAGGCAAGTATTCTAATACAGCATCTAGTAAAGGCTGTATTCCTTTGTTTTTCAGAGCAGTGCCCACAAGGACAGGGGTAAAGGAACGTTTCAAAGTAGCACGACGAATTGCCTTTTTGATATCATCTACTGTGGGTGTCTTCTCTTCAAGAAATAGTTCTCCTAAAAAGAAAATGTTAAGTGTTTAGACTTAAGAAGTAGTAATAATAAATCGTATTTTTCTGACTTCATAAACTCCTAGATGAGTTTCAATCTAAATATCATATCGCACGGTTAAAATTAAACTGACTGCTTACAGTTTGAGTCCAAAAGGAGTCAAGTGAATAAAAAATACTTTTCGGCGCCATCTACATTTCAATCATAAAATAAATGTCATAGGTATTCTTTTTTTGGATACCTCGTTCCTACACGAACTTACAACTTAATTTGTTTTTCACAGGGACTATTATAAAACAGTAGCGTAAACCATGTAACATTATGTTAAGGGTGTAAAGGACGCCGTAACAAATACCGAAATAGTGTATTGAGACCATCATTCTGAGTCGAAAATCATTGGAATTTTCTGCCGGAAAATTAAACATCTTATGCAATCAGCTGTTAAAGGTTAAGGTCATACCCCGTAAGTATCTCACAAAAGTAATAACTACATTTGTATTCCGTATTCCATACACTAATATAAGTTAGAGGCGGGGGGAGGCCCCTCGCGCTTCGGCTGGCATGCAACATGGCAGTTTTTGACCGTATACGATCTTTAATAAATTGTTTTCGTATCATTAAATGGTGATATCATTAAAAAAAATATGAAGACTTTAACAAAAATGAAAAAAAGTACACATTTTGTATAAGGACGAAACTAATTCCAGAAATGACACTCACCCAAAGTCTCATCAACATTTGATAAATGTTCAATAAGCTCATGCCTTCTTTCTTGAACCTCTGTCCTTCTATCTTTGGGCACCTCATCATAACGAATTTTTACACCAAAGTCTCCATCGAAATAGATGGCTCTCTCTTCCACTAAGTCGAGAATACCTTCACAGTCTTTCTCTAGACCTATAGGTAATTGGATGAAGGCTGCATTATGGTTCATTTTGGAACGCATTTGTTTTACAACTCTGAAATAAATAATTAAAATCTATTTCACTTTCTATACCTGCAACCTTGATCATTATCAGAAAGTTTCGTTAGTTAAGATTTTTCAATAAAAAAAGAAGATAAAGTAATTAATAATAATAGCTTGACACATCTCACATATAGCTGTCTGATCCCAAACTATGCACACCTTGTGCCATATGGTAATTAAACTATTGATAAACATACATTTACATATTTCACCTGTGTCTGGACACAAGTAATCATGTTCATCACTTAATTATTTTTCCCAGTGGAATCGAATCCAGTCACCTTACTTAGCAGTCAGGATCCCTAACCACTAGACTAACATAAATCTTTTAATAAATATATAAAATCCATACTTAAACTGATTAAAAAAAGAATACCATTGTTATTTTTTTTAAAGCTGTCGTTTGGTAAACCCAGCAAGTAATATAGGTAACTTTTTACTTCAATAACTGTCACACGCGGGCAGAGGCATGAGTAAAAGCACTAGCTATTGACCACAACTCCGCCCGACCAGCATACTAATGATTAAATTTTAATAAGAATGGGAGTTATGTTAATAAAAGAAGAGTGAACTTAAGTAATTAGCATGTTTGCTGTTTGATAACATTAAATAGTGCACACTTTTTTTTTAAATAAAATCACTTGCACAGATTGCAGGAATACAAGAGGAAAGATGTTACACAACAATTATCAATTTGAAATACAAAATCCTTAAATTTTAGTTAGCATAATAATAATATCTCTCACACAAAGCCGTGTGATCCCAAACTAGGCAGAGCCTTCACTATGGTAACCAGACTGCTGATAAACATACTTATATATTTTTAAATACATACATATTATAGATAAATTACACCCAGACACAGAATAAATGACCATGCTCATCATACAATATTTGTTCTGGGTGGTAATCGAACCCACTGACCATTAGACCAACAGGCCCGTCGTAAATATAGCTTACATTCTATTATTTAGATTTTACAAATGAATTTATCATTATCATCATCATCAACAGTCCTGCTGGACATAGACCTATCCTGAGAGAGGAGGTTTTGACCTACTATACCATGCTGGCCAGACTGGTTGGTATAGGGTTTGTGACAAGTTTTCCTTCTCTTTGCAGTGCTGTTGTCCTGCGTAGTTTGCTCTCTTAGTCGCCTCTTACGACACTTACGGGATGAATAGGGGTGGGGGCACTCTGTATTCTTAATCCGCCACCACACGGATTGAACGGAGTGAATTTATATAAACCATTATCAAGTACAATTTAGAATGACAAAATGATTATTTTGTATATACTTAGATACTTGCCTGTAAGGATTCGCAGCTAATCTATCAAGTTTATTAATAAATGCTAAACATGGAACATTGTATCTCTTCATTTGTCTATTTACTGTTAAGGTCTGACTCTGAACCCCACCAACAGCACACAAAACTAGAACAGCCCCATCCAAAACACGCAATGCTCTTTCTACTTCAACTGTAAAGTCCACATGACCAGGTGTATCAATGATATTGATGTTGTGTTCTCTCCATATTGTGTATGTTGCTGCAGACTGTATAGTGATGCCTCTCTGTCTTTCCAGTTCCATTGAGTCCATGACTGCACCAACATTGTCTTTGCCCTTCACCTGAAGTTGAAAATTTCCCAATTTACTAACAATTTCAATAAGTTCATACTCCTTTAGCTATCTTAATCCATAAAATTTTAGTATTATACTTATCATTGGCATTTTCGGTTTAAAAATTGACTTTTAAACACACTCATAAAAATAAACTATATTTTATCATATTTTATGTTCAATCATATTAGTGGATAATCAAATCAATGCAGATTTTTGATCTTAAAAATAATAGACGAATATACCCAAGTTAAGAACTGAAAAAATTTAAAACTAAACAAGAAATCCTGCTAACTCTAAAATTTTGTATTTTAATAATGTTTTGCTTATTGTTTGACTGTATAGGTCTTCTACTGAACCTGACTGAAGTTGGATCTCTGTTCACATTTTTTTCTAAAGGGACGGTAATTTAACCTAAAAACTGATGACTTAGTGATACTCAGAAATTAAAAAGCAAAACTTACCTCATGCATTGCATCTATTCTGCCAGTATAGTACAGTATTCGCTCAGTAAGCGTAGTCTTACCAGAGTCGATATGGGCAGATATACCAATATTCCTGATCTTTTCCAATGGTTTGTGTTCCGCATATTTAACATAAGATGAGAATTTCTACAACATTTAAATTTAAGAAAACAAGCTTTAGTATAATTTAAGTATATGCATTATTTAAAATTTAAAAGAAATATATTGAAATTACGTAAATACAGGCCGAAAAATTTAAAAACCATTTTATGAAATTAAATTAAAGATTACCTCAATTTGTGAGACACCAGACTTATTGAGACTCCGCACGGTATTCGCTAAACGTATTAAATTAGATATCGTCATTTTCTAGATAGTTTATTAGATTAAATTTTTTGAATTTAGAGGTTAGAATTTCATGTCAATGTCATATGGTTAGAGGCGGAGAGCCAGAGACTAGCGGCGGATCGAAATCAGGGAAGGGGAAAGGAAAACGAACAAGAATGAATCCATGAGACCTAAACCTAGGGTTTCACTGTTCTATTTTGATTTTAATTAATAAGATTTACTTAATGCTAACTTTTCTTGCATAGTTAGATGAATGACTAGAAATGTCCATCTTTTATCTACAAGAAAAGGTAAAACCATAATAGATTTAATTTAAAATTATTAGATTTTAATATTTAATCATTTTAATTATAACACATTTTTAAGATTTATTTATGTGGCCAAAATAATTTGGACTCTCATTGTGAGCGTCGTCCTTCACTGAAGCAAGTGTTAAGATATACTATTATGGTAACTGTATTTGAATAAAATATTTACCTTTCGTATCTTCTTCAATATAAAACGTTAAGTATTCATAATTTCATAAAATTGTTTAAACAATGTACATCTATTAAATTATCATTTCAGTTTACTACGATCTTTGATCTCTTGTCTATACCTGTAAAATTCCTTGCCCTGACTGACTGATTCATCTACGCAGATTTTTGAAAGTTTCACCCCTAAGGAGGTAAAATAAAGCATGAACGGTTACATGGAAGTTCGTCACTTTTAAAGTTAACACAACAACACGAACTAAGTAATAATCACATAAGGCAATTGTTAGTTATGCATATTTTAATATTATTGAAAATAATTTCAAGCTACTACCTGAATATTATGAATCTCAAATAAAAATACTCGTAGAATTAATAATGATTCCCATTAGGAACGGCATCGTATCATTTTCCTAAATCTTGCTCGCTGGAGGAGTTCTACGCGCTCTCATGGCGTTCGTCATGATACTAAGCGAGAGAATTCCCACTCCGATGTCCGCCACGAGGTCACGCCTCTGCACAACCCACGCTGGGCATTCACCATGTCCACGGTCCGGCCATCGCAGTGGTGACACTCAGGCGTTGGCTGCTTGCGGATCAGACACAGGTGATCCCCGAAGCATCCTTTCTCGGTGATCCCCTACGTCAGCCGGTATGGGAGGGTCCCGTGGATCCTCTCGAGCCAATCCTCCATAACGGGTCTTACCGCCGCAATAACGGCGTGCCCTGCGCTTTATTGCCCAAGTAGTTCTTTCCACTCTTCCACTAGGACCTGGTGGAGTTGAGTTTTCTGGTCCTCTATTTCTTGAGTCTCAGGACTTAGATCCAACTCCCGTGGCTCCTTGCGCCACTGATACAGAGCCGCAAGGGCTTACACCTCCAAGTCCCATGGTGGAATTCCGGTCAGAAGACTCGACACCTCAAAGGAGATCGTGCGGTAACCCCTTATGACCTTGATAGCCAGGACTCACTGCGGTTGTCGATCGACGTTGCTGTCCTTCACGGGCTCCGCAAATACCGGGGGCCCTATAAAGAACCCCAAGTAGAGTTTCCTGCAGGAGTCATCGGTTCCCCTCATGTTAGGCAGCAACTGCGCTAATGCTCGCGCTGCTCCAAACTTGGGGACCAGACCTCGAAAATGATAGCCGAAGTCTCACCAGCCATCGTGTGTGAGCCTCAGATACCTCATCGAGGGCTCGTACTATGTGGGTGGATCCCTCAGGTGGCTTCCTCCGAGGCGCATGAAAAAACAAGGCCTCGGATTTGTACAGAGCCACCTCAAGACCCAGCCGCCGGATCCGCTCCACGACTTGGGAAACCCCGGCTGTGATCCTCAGGGTTGCCTCACGGTGCGTTATGCTAACACCTAAAACAATGAATGCATATAGTCAAATAATTTAGTTTTAATTCATAAAGTTATAATGTATTCATAACTTTAAACCATAGTCAAACTAAGGTGAAGTTAGCTGCTATTCATATTTTTGTGTTGGTAGCAATGTCAGGAATAGACAAAAAAACAGTTTCTTTTCAGTTTAAAAAGAATATGGCCGTGTTAGGGCCGTGTGTAAGTGTAAATATGAATGGGCACAATAATATTCATAGTCAGTTAACAAAATCTTTAGAAAGAATTTTGGAAGATGCTTACTTAAGTGGTGAATTAAAACTGAGTGGACGTAAGTTAAGGGAGTTTCCTAAACCAGTGAAGTATGACTTGAGCGATACAGTTGTTGCTGGTAAGTCTCGAGTTTTATAAATAAATCGTCCTGCATTTCTATGCGTTTTACGTATAATATTTTATTTTGGGCTTCTATAATGGACCGCAAGTATAGTAGAGTATTTTAAAGACGTATCTATGTTATTTTTGTATACCGGCATTTGTAGCGTCGTGCTCGCTTTATTTGTCATCAAATCGATCGTACGATAACCACACAAAACAGGAATTCAATACGAAATGAAATTCACCTCATTTCTTTTTCTTAGAAATCGATTGGGATAAGGATACTTCTGCGAGTTTTAAGTGTAAATGCTCGTTTTTAATTGTTTATGTTGTTGTAAATGGCCAGATGGTGTTTCGTTTATTATTAACGTAAATAACAATTTGTCTGAAAGTATTTCATAAATATCATGAATACATTTGAATAACTTACATTATTAAATATTTCTTTACCTCTCCTTATCACACTCCATTATTATTGTAAGTGCATTGTCTGTCCTATCTTTGTAAATTCTTGTTTAACACCACTTTTTGTAGCTAAATTGCAGTAATAATAATAGTAAATACATAAGAATTGTACAAGCATATGTATTTATTAAATTAATATTCTACTAAAGAGATAGTTCAATGAATATTTTTTGCTGATCTAGGTAATTATCCTTAGCCTTATATTGAAAGAAGTAAAATATAAATGATTCAACATAGTAGACATAGATAGGTTTGCACTGCAGTGCAGTTATTTAATTTTCAACTTTCCTCATATGTATTTTATTACATACTGCTTTGACCTAATTAGGAAAAAGGTAAAGTACTGATGGAGCAGGACAAGGGATATGCATTATTTCTATATTTTTTAGCCATTTCTTTAATCCATTATATTTACAAAATACCCAGAAGATCGAATTTTGATTATTACTTAGTTATGTATTAAAAAAAAAACTGCCTAATGGGTATACAAAATTGTATCTGAATACAATATTAAAATGAGGAAACAGGGAGACTATTTAACTAACAAATTTGGGAAGTTTATATTCATAAAACATGCAGACATACGGGTCATTAAGTAAAAAATTCTAACTGGCCTTATGCTGGTTGTCTGTGCCCCTAACTGGTTTATTTTATGAACAATTATGGCGCCGCCAATTTAGGCTGCGTTTTTTTATTTTGTTTTGCGTCGTCTTCGTATTGGCACTCACTGTTTGGTTTGTTGTAATGTTTATTATCTACTAGGGTACCTGAATAGCTTTTTACACGTAACTGAAACATGCTAAGACAAGGTTTAGTTTATCTTATATACGAACTTTTATAGCAGTCCTAAATTTTAAATGATCGCATTCCCGAATCATTACCGTAATCCATTCTGCCATACTTGTATTATACATGTGAAAGTGAGTTTGTTTGTTACGCTTTCACGCCTTAATCACTAAACCGACTTTAACAATTCTCTCACCAATTGAAGCTACATTATCAGCGAGTACCAGCGGCTACTTTTTACCGGGATAATCGACATACACGTGGGCGGAGCCGTGGGCAAAATCTAGTAAATAATAAATTATGTTTACGGGAATTAACGCGCTCACGATACGTATTACGTACATAACCTTTGATTGCCTGAAGTTTACTTTAATAGCTGTACCGTAAATGAGTACGTAAAATACTGCCTTTAGGGCGACCGATTTTATGTCGATTTTGTCAACCAATTTTCCCAAAAATAGCCCGTGTTAATGCAGACTAATCTATCTCTGTGCGAGATTTCATCCAAGTCCGTCAAACCGTTCTCTCGTGCTCGAGTAACAAATATTCATCTAAAATTATTCATTCATCATGTATAATAGCAGTAACCTTCGAACAAACAGTTATTTTTTTTTACATTAGTTATCAAAATCATTTAAAAACCATTTTGTAAAAAGCTATTAAGTATTATTGATATTGCAAGTGACACTAATTATTTGCACGTGTGGATTGAGGTGAAAACGATGTTTCGCTGCAGAGCGTGGGTGGCCAAATTCTCTTTCCTTTCTGATACTAAAAATATAACATTTATTAACTGAACTTTCATATTTTCCAAGTTCTACTACGCATTTTAAAAATTTCGTGGGCGTTAGAAAATGTTACCTGTTTCCCTTTGGCAAGTTAAACTGCGTAGGATGCCAGCTGATCTGAGGTCAACGTTTATGTTTGTAATGAATTTAGTAACGTTATATACTTGTAATATTACCAGTGGTTAAAATTTTACGAGTTGTTTTGCATATTTTACACAATATATGCACAATTAGCAAGGCTATGTGTTATTCTAGCTCACTGTAATCGCGGTAATTCCCGAGCGGTTTGCAACATAAACCGCATCTGAATTTCTGAATTCCACTGTTTATTATTACGGCAAAAGACTTCGTTCGATGTGTAGGTACTAAATAAATTACTTCGTGATGCATCAACGGTTGTACTAATTGGATGTTTCTCTAAGTTAAAGTACTTCAAGTTTAGAATGATCAACTTGGATAGTGGTTCACAAATCATACCTATCTCTTATTGACGGGTTAATGTGAAAATATCACTAGTTACAAATGATTTCACACTTACAAAAAAGAGAGAGTGGTGTAATCATTAACTGTTGTTTAATTTGACTCGCCTATTGGTTGGTTGTGACATTACAGCTCATTTACATTAGTAAGTTACAGTAGTTTTTTTTCTATAAAGACGAAAGTGATTTGGTCTATATTTATACACACACATATATCCGCACGGAAGCAGTTTCTTTACAGTCATTTCATGCAATATATCCAGTGACCCCATTCGTCGTCAATAGTTATAAAACAGTATATGGTTCGACGAAGTCCTTATAACAACTATCTGTAATATACACAAAAGCGCACAGCTGTGTCAATATAAGTAACTAGCTGCGCCCCGCGATGTTACCCGCGTTTGTTGTTGTACTTTGCTCATCCCACGGGAACACTAAACTTTTTCGGGATAAAAAGTATTGTGCTATTCCAAACTATAGGTAATCTATTTCTGTGCCAAATTTCATCCAGATCCAGTTTTTGCTTGAAAGAGTAACAAAAATCCATATAAACTTTCGCCTTTATAATATTAGTAAGATAATCAAAGATAAGGATCCTACATTATTCCAAGATGACTATTATAAGATTAAACCAATTCGTAATTTTTAATTTTGTTTATACAAACCTAAGACTTAGTGAAAAATAATGATCAATCTTTTCGAAATATTTATTTATTTATTTATACAAAATAGTAATAGTCAAATTGCAATGGAGGCACAAATCCTTGATAGATGTCTCATGTTAAAATAGTCTCAAATATTGGCGGCTTTTGATCTTACGTAGGGGATACCACAATTTTTACTATATATTTTATATAATTTTACTCTGGTGGTAAACCCATCTGGTGTTTTATTAAATGACTTGTAACTTAGAATTTTAACTGCAGAAGAGCTTTAGCAGCAAAGGACTTATGCCTCTTGACTTGAAAGAGTCTGGGCGGCTGAAGTCACTTATCATCAGGCGACCCGTATGCTCGTTTGACCCCATGCCGTAAAAATAATTAAAACAATAGATTGTTTTAATTATTTTTAGTTTATCTGTAGACTTGAACGTTGTTAGATTAAGCAACCTATCTCGTTTGCGCGTAGATTAGGCAGTTCATTCATATCATAACACAAACAACGCTGTCGTGGCAAAGCTTGATATTTTTCATTTCACTACCCGCAGCTGCAGGAAATGTGTCATTGCACATATTTCCGATAACGTTGGTATTAAAAATACTGTCACATAATGAAAACTATCTCTTGAAAATATTATTGATAAGAAACACGGTTGCATAAACAAACTACTAAGGTGTTAGAGTTTCCATCTATGTGGTAAACCGTAACTGATGATTTAACCGCTGCCTGATCGTGCTGATGATTTAAACCATAAAAAGAAAATCAACAAAGATATCGTATAATACCGGCTTATTGTACACGAATAAATTTAATTCATTTAGATAATGAACCGAAAAGGATAAGAAGAAACTAGTAACCAGCACGTAATGCCAAAATAAATAACGAGAAAAGGTACATTTCAATGTGCAATAGTGCAGTGGTTGTTACTATTAAATTAATAAACATTATCTCTAAATGCTACAAATATAAATTCACTTTTGTGGAAAATAATTAAAACATAGTATTAGTACCTTATTACGAGTTACATAGGCAAAATAAACACATTAGGTATAATAATTCTTCTTTGGAAACAAAAGCTAGGTAATCGATGGATCACACTATGCATTATGATAACCTTTTTTTTTTATTTGTTTGTATTGAACAAAGCTACTATTATTAATTATTATTATTATTTATCTGTGATATTTTGATTTGGCCCCATCACTAAGTAAAACATGAATGTTTTTTTTTGTTTACAGACTATGTAGAAAGTTAAGAAACTTACAATCGGACACACTTCGTTTATTGTGATTAAAATGTACCTTTTACAGTTGATTATTAAATAAATAAGTTTTACTCAGAATGCCAATTCTCGTAATAAAAGTTCGGTCTCAGTTCAGTTCCGATCAACTTTCGATCTCACAACTGAAACAAAAGGTATTTTCGTAGTAAAGTATTAAATATCTAACATTGATTGAAATGTGATTATATCGTATTGTAACCGAAAATTGAATCGGTAATCTGCTAGTCTTAGTAATACTTTACTATTTCACCACGAAAATACCTTTTATGACAGTTGAGAGATCGAAAGTTGATCGGAACTGAACTGAGACCGAAATTTTATTACGAGAATTGGCATTCAGTTTGAGGAGAACCTCAGACATTGAAACATGTTCAATACGTAGCTACGACTACTTACATTAACGATAATTGAGTTACTTAAACAGTTGGCAGACAATGATGTAATTAATTTCTATTACGACGCCTAAGTAAGCTATATTTTTGTATCGGTCGGTCTATTGTTGTATTGTAGCAAAAATGTCTAAAACTCATTATTTACATTTCGTTTCTATAGTACA